GACAGTTTTACCAGCTTTATCATTGCTTCCCTGTTGTGGGGTATGTTCACGTAGGCTGAGATTGAGAACAGGGTGCATCAGCCTGTGAGGGGACTGGGGAGCGAGGCCTTGGATGCCACCCTGTTCCCTAGAGCTCCCACTGTTCAAGAGAAGCAGGGCTGTGAGGGGCACCTGCACCGCTGCTCACTTCCTGGTGGTGAAGCCAACATTTGGCCACTTTTCTCATTATTGGAGTGCGTCTGTGTCTCATACATTCCTGTGAACTGGCAAAGTTGATTTAGACAGGCTCACATTAAGGACAAGGCAGCAGTGTCTGCAGGGTCTGGAAGCCACACTGACTGTCCCTCTGCCTCCCCCCAGAGTTCCGGCTGGTCAACGGCAGCAGCAGCTGTGAGGGCTGCATGGAGTCCTGGTGCGTGGGACCTGGGCTCCCCTCTGTGCTGCCCACTGGGACTTAGCAGATGCCACTGTACTATGCCACCAGCTCAACTGTGCCAATGTGGTGACCACACCCCAAGGAGGCCATTTTGGGGAAGAGGACGCTCCCGTCTGGCCAGACGTGTTTCATTGTGTGGGGACAGAGTCCCATTTGTTGAACTGCCCAGCGAGCACCCTGGGGGCCCCATCCTGTGCCCTGGGAAATGTGGCTGCCGCCATCTGCTCAGGTGGGTGCAGCACATGCAGTGTGTGTGTGAGGGGAGTTGGGTGGACAGGGGGAGCTCGGGGCTGAGCAGTGGGCAGGACAGGAGGCTGTTCACGGTGGACAATGGGTAGGTCACATGGGAATGAAAAGATGGGGTGGCGTAGGCAGAACGCGCAGGGAGGACGGTCTGGGGAGGTCGAGTGGGGATTTTGGATAGAAGAGGAAGGAAGGACAGAGGAACATACGATGGAAAGGAAGGCAGCTGAGAGGGAAGAAGGGCAGGTAGACCGAGGAGTGGACAGGTCACTGTGTGGGGTCAGCATGAGCCCCAGCACCTCCTTGACCCGGAAGGCTCCTGCTCTCCCTCCCCAGGTCTCCCCCACGCCCTGCAGCTGAGGGACGGACAGAGCCGCTGTGACGGCCGTGTGGAGGTCTCCCTGGCCGGTGTGTGGGGCCGTGTCCTGGACGACGGCTGGGACCTGCGAGACGCCGGGGTGGTGTGCCGGCAGCTCGGGTGCGGACGGGCTGAGAGAGCCTGCGACGCGCTGACCCCGGCCGCGGGGCCGTCCCGGTGGGTCTGAGCCGCGTGCGCTGTCTGGGCACCGAGACCCATCTGACCCAGTGCAACGTGTCCTCATCCCCGCTGGTGCCCGCGGGGACTTCGTGGGACGCG